TATTTCCCCATGTGTTGTGGATTTCCTCCTACAGTCCAAAGAGATGCAGTTAGGCTAACTGCTGTCTCTGAATAGCTAATGGTAAGTAACTGTCTGTCCGTGTTCCCTGTGCTGGACTGGCACCTCATTCAGGTTCTACTCCAGCTTTGTGCCCTGTGCTGGACTGGGTTAGACTCACGTCTCCTGCAGCACTGACCAAGATTGGTGGTTGGCAGATATAAGGGGATTGACGTCATTCATGTTCCATTATGAATGTTCCACCAGTTCTCACAATGAATTCAGAGTTTTATAATGCTTTTTCTGGAAGAACCTAGGGCATAGATTTGAGTAGGAACATTGTGGGAGCACAGTGTGTGTTTAGGGGGGCAGGGAGTTTGGGGCTGATTTGGTCCTTACACGTTAAAATCAAACCCATGCCTTTGGGAAGGCGCGGACAGTGGTGAGGGAAAGCAATGTGCTATGTTAGCTTTAAAAGGATCGTCAGTGGAAGGTTATGAAAATGGGTTGCGGTCCCTTTACTTTCCAACAACACCGAAGAACAAATGTAACATAGTACCAATTTGGGAGACTGTAGCGAGGTTCTAAGTGGTGAATAAGGCAGACAAATTCCCTTGTCCTCCATAACAGAAAATGGCTGGTCATTCGATACATTATTAAAATCCTTTATTTTAGTAGGTCTGTCTTTTTAGCTTTGGTGCTGCTCTGTTGAATATTGACTCAAGTTTAAATATCGGGCGGCAGCATTAACTAAGGTTGACACTCTGGCCCAGGGTCTTGAATTGTAAAGAACATCGGCTGATACTAATATGATAACTGATATATTGTGCATCTCTACCTGTGTCTTGCCTCAGTTTACAGCACTAGTTTACGGCACTGTTTTTATAACCATCAGCCGGTCTTGAGTTTGGATTATGTACTGAGCTGAACTCCTAACAAAGGGCTTAGCCAGTCAAGTAGCATCAAATTCTAAAAGGTCTGATTCTAGTAATATCCTTTTCCTATAAACATTTTTCTGGGATGTGTTCAGGCTGCCGTAAATTGCATTACGCAGTAAAAGCCGCAACAAAAAATGGAGATGTTTTATCCGGCAGTGCAAACCTGCGTAATCGAATGTCGAATGAATTCTTCAAGGTGCAGAGTATACAAGTGTGTTAAAAGACTGACCTCAGCTCCAGACTCAAACGGCATCACATGCTGACAATAAGAGGATTAACTTTGTAAAACGGTGCAGCATGGGTTTATTAAACCACGTCATGCCAATTTATATATATCTTTGAATTAAATTTCTCGCCTGGGCAGTTTTTCATGTAGCGTGTTGGTAAGATAGCAGTTAGAAGTGGTGGTACGTAATACATCTTGGATATGTCTACATAAATGGCATGAATACTGTATGGCATGTTGAGCTCCACAAGCTTTAAAGCAGTTTATTTTTCCAAGGGTGACTTCAGTAATTTTAGGTGTATTAATGAATATTTATACAAGCATAAATGGTCCTTTTAATGCTGTGAATCTGCCCATCCGTGGCTGTAAACACGGCTGAAACCTTCTACTCTCTGTTGCACGTTTTTTTTTTCTGTTGCTCCCCTGAAAAGATGTTCTGTCTCTCTTTGCCCATGTCCTTGACTGTGCTCTGGCAAAGCACGCCTCAGCAGTGCCGAGTTGAAATCAAGCAGAGGATCAGCACTTGCTAGAGAAACGCCGATTGTCCTGTATAAATGTGAGGCTCTGGGGTGGGGGTAGCGCTGGGGCTTTTATTTATGAACGCACTGACGTGCAGGAATATTAAATTAATATTCTGCTGAGGTTTTTCTTGGCCAGATTCCCATGTTTACTGAGATTTGTCCACCTGGTCCTATGGGGAGAGAAGTACTTTTGATACCGGGCCAAATTAATTCTTTTCAGCCAACAGAATGATGAAAAATGTGCGTGTGCTTGTTTGTAGATAAATACAGAGTCATTTTATGGCCTTGATTTGAAAACTGGGTGCCTTGCAGTGTTTTCTCCTCTCAGATGAGTGCCAGAGTGAAGCACATGGGAGAAAATGAATGAACGTAGTAGCGAGGCTTTGGTTTTGGACCTGGGGGATTATAGCGGGTGGTGACGTCGTCTGGGCTCTTGTTACGCTGCCCAGGTGTGGTTGGAGCACGTGCCGCGTGCGGAGCGACCGGCAGCAAACCCGCGAAGGCGCTTTCTTTGCCAAGGTGGCTGTGGAGGAGGAGGGGGTGGGTGTGGGATGAGGGAGGGAACGGGAGGGACACAGGACAAGCGAGAGCGAGGGGACGGGTACGCCTGTATGTGGCTCCCGTGTCTCGTGTCCAGAGGCTCCGGCGACAGAGCTGCTCCCCAGGGAGAGGGATCCTTCGGCGCAGCAGCCATGCATTCGGAGACGCGCAGTCGGCTTTTTGACTTCCTGGCGCACGGCGTGGTGAGTGCGACGCCCCCCGCTGTCTCTCACATCCCTCGCGATCTCTTTCCGCGGCCCTGGCGTGCTCTTAATCATCGATCCTTGGCTGTTTCTTACGTGGCACTGATTGGATGTTAATTAACAGCATTTGCGTTCGTCTTTTTCCCCTCTAATAACCTATTAAAAATTAACCCTGTTTTCATTCATGAAAGTCTGTCTTTAGCTGGGATGGCGGTGAGCCTTTCTTCCCTTTTTTCTTTCATTTATTAAATGAATGAGTTTTCATGGTGGTGTCTTAGACTGAGAGCTACCCAAGCCCGGGATCCTTACTGTGGTGGTGCTGCTTGGTCTCTCTTTAATTATGCTGTTATAGATCTGGGTGGAATGAAAATGCCTTTCAGGGGAGACCACCCACACCACCAGCACGGCTCCTACCCGGACTCCCTGAATGTTAAAGGCTTTCTGGTCAACACTGCCGCAGAGTAGGAGGGGGGAAAACCCCTTTAGGATGGGCGGCCATAGTGTGGAGGGGAAACTGGTGTAATCATCAATCCTCCCTGACTGGAATGATCTTTATCACGCTACTCGCCACGCTGTAGTGAAGCAGTGCGGCTTCTATGAATATTTTAATATGACAGTTTTGGAGTGGTTTGTGGGTGCAGTGATCAGCCCTGTAGCCTAGAGAAAGTCTGCCACAGAAGATGGGACAGCTAGAGGCAGTTGATCGTCATATTAAATTTATTCATGCAGAATTTAACAACCATATCTGTTCCGAAGGGGTGTCTCGGTAGGTAAATGTTGCCGTATACCTCCAGGGTAGGGGGTTCGAATCCCATTCTGCTGTCCCCCTATCGTGCAGGTTTCCTCTGGATACTCTGGTTTCCACCCGCTCTCTAAAAACATACAGTTGACTGATATGTTTCTCAGGATTGTCTATAGTGTTCATGTGCTTCCTTGTGTGCCCTTGGATGGACTGGCATCTTATCCAGGGTATATCCCAGCCTTGCTGCCTGGGCAGGGCACCAGGCCCCTCTGTGACCCTGACCAGGATAAGTTGGAGGATGGATGGATAGATGGATGTAGGATCTGAAAATCACATGGACAGGATCCCTCAGTGACAGCTTTTCATAAATGTCAGAAAACCTCTGCCGTCTTTGAGTCCATCTTCTAAACACTTATCCTGGGCAGGCTTGCAAGAGTCTCCATTACACTTTAGTATGTTGTTGATATTCAAGTTCGCACTGCAATCATGCAGTGTTCATTCTTAACTGATGTACTTTGTGGGTTTTGTATCAGATTCAGCCTCAGTCTTTTAAAGTTGGCATGAATGCAAAGTTATCACCACACTTATGTAAACAATGCGTGAAATGTCAAAAATGATCCTAATCTCTTAACCTCATGACTTCACTCATTTAGCTGAATGGTAGATCTGTCTGTCTTGTCCTATTAGTATCGAGCTTCGCTTTTTATTTTTATTTTTAATATTGACCTTAGATCAGTGGTGGGCAATCTTACCCAGAAAGAGCCGCTGTGTATGCAGGTTTTTGCCGCAGCTCCCTAATTAGTTCATTAATTAGAGGACTGATTGGCTGAAGAGTCCTCACACCTGGGTTTGAAAAGCTGACCTAAAGGATATTCTCAGAACCTGCATACACACCCGCCCTTTGCGGATAAGATTTCTCCACCTGTACTGTAGTGTTTATCCACTTTCATCAAATAGCCACTTTATTTGGGATCAGTTCTGTTTTCGAAGTTCTTCCTTACTCTCTTATATTGGTTGATGAAGAGCCTGTTAGCTCTCCTGATTCACTTTTCATTTGTCAACTGTCCTCATCCTCAATTGTAACTTGTGGCTTCTCATCCAGGTCATTTCCGCACTGTTCCTTTCCGACTCCAGCTTTTCTTATTATGTAGAGGGACTAGAGTATTTGAGTATAGATGGATCATGCCCATTTTTGTTAGGAAGTGTATTCAAATGTCCTGTCACTCTTGGCATTTGCGAGGTGGTCAGATGATGCCCTTTCATTGGTGAAATACATTATACATCAGCTCCTCTGTCAGGATACCTGGTTTGATGTCATTTTAGATTCCGTTTCAGAGCCATGTGATGCGAAACAGGCATGTGAACTATGTGCATGTTTTGGTTTGCTGATGTTTGTACCAGGGCTCGCATGGTCCTGTTTCCTGAAAGTGGAAGTGCCATATTGCATTTATAAATTTGTTCAGCTCACCTAAGAGACGCCCAGTAAACACTTTCTTCAAATGAGTGTACAAATCGTTAATTGTCAATGGGTAAAAGTCAAACTGAGGTCCACGCAACTAGTGCTTGACCTGTGACATATTGTGCAATAATAAGGGACAGATTATGTTGTTTTTGCGCGGTTTTTAAGGGACGGATTAGCCATGTCCCTGTGTAGGTGTGGGTATGTTTAACAGTGAAAAATGTTAGATAATACATCGCTGAAGCATCGATTGGTGTGATGCTTTTATGTTTTTTTAATTTGGATGCGTGATTTAGGATGCGTGTGCTGTTGGTTGCTGTCCTTGGCCGGCCTGCCTTTGTCTTTTCTGAATTCCATCGAAGCTACATCATGCAGCCTGTTCAGTAAGAACATGCCTGTTTTGTCCCTTTCACAGAGGCCGGGAATGCCCCCAACCAGCCGCATGACCCCTCAGGGACCTTCGATGGGACCCCCTGGTTACGGCACCAGCCCAGTGTCGCGGCCTGGTATGCCAATCATGGACCCATCCCGGAAGAGACCCGCCCCTCAGCAGATCCAGCAAGTCCAACAGCAGAGCCGCACCCAGCAGTAAGCACTCGACCTGGGCTAGGCCGGGTTCTGAGACGGGCTACGGATCCTGATCTTCAACAGCAGATCTTTAGGTGATGACGTTCTAATGAGTTTCTGATCTTTCTTCTGCTACACAGTGCCAAGAAGAAGAAAATGGCTGATAAAATTCTACCTCAGCGGGTGAGTGTTTTCAGTTGCGGAGTAGATTTATTAACATTATATAAAAATTATCTGTTTTATTAACATAAGTAAATGTATCTGAGTGTTCTTCCAGTATATGTGAACTAAATATATGCCACTTCGGTTAGTATGTGAATGAGAATTTTATAGAGCTCAAATTAAATTGCTATCAATGAATATCACACAGCCTTGAATAGCAGGATATAGCATGGAGGCCAAAACCCTGTACGTGAGGGACCTTGATCCTAATTGCTAATGTGAAATATCCACTTGTATGGATGTTCTAAGTGTAGAGCTGTAGGTTTGTTGGTATTAAGGATACACACACATGTGCTTCCTGAGTTCAAGCTAATTTTTCCCCCTACCTGCCCCACAGATCAGAGAGCTGGTCCCAGAGTCTCAGGCATACATGGACCTATTGGCTTTTGAGCGAAAACTTGACCAGACGATCATGCGCAAGAGGTTGGACATACAGGAAGCCCTCAAAAGACCGATCAAGGTAGGCAATCGACTTAACTGAACGTGTTTCTCTGCCATTTCAAGGGCTTCATCTCCCTCGTCCAACACACCACAACTGAGTGGAGGAGACCATGTTTTCCTGTTATTCGTAGTAGCTATACTTAGGGCAACAAGCATTGCTATAAATTTTCAGGTTGAAGTTTTACATTGTATTTATCACTGTGTTAAAACTGGATGTGCTGTGAAGATTTTAAGAGCAAAAAGCAGTCAAGTCTGTGGTTGTTAGAAATGCTGGAATGTGACCTTGGTCCAAGATGAGCTTTGAGTTTCCAAACAACTGCTGTGAACACAGCGATTCACTCCGGTCGCGTCCCTAGGAACATGATTTCACTAAAGCCTTTTAATTTTTTGGACCGTCTTTGAATAATAAGGTAGAAAACATGAAATCCAAACCCTACAAATTTGCTTTTGTGAGAAACACTACCGATTCACTCTAATAGCTGATGTGAATAATGGTTTTTGATGTTTTTCATCCTTTTGTAGCAAAAGAGGAAGCTTCGAATTTTTATTTCAAACACCTTCAACCCCGCCAAGCCTGATGCTGAAGATGGGGAGGGCACTGTGGCATCATGGGAGCTCCGGGTAGAGGGACGACTCCTGGAGGATGTGAGTCGCACCGTCACAGGGCAGACCCGCCTTCCTTAAGATCTTCTTTCCCCTGAATCTTCTGTGTTAAAAGGGATATTTTGGTGCTCAGTGAAATTCTGTGTATAAGTTGTTATGTAGATATTTGAGAAATTCAGTCATAATTCTTACCCATTTTTGTGCACGGTCTTCGTTATTGAATGACCAAAAAGAAAAATGCACGAGACACGTCTTAGGTACTGTTGTAAGTCATTGCCTTGTAGAGAGATTCTTTGGTCACATGACTCCTCTGTTAATAAAAGGGAAGTGACAGCAGAAAGCATTTGTGTGCTTTTCTTTCAGACGGCTGTATCCAAGTATGAAGCTACTAAACAGAAGAGGAAATTCTCCTCTTTCTTCAAATCGCTAGTGATTGAATTGGACAAAGATTTGTACGGACCTGATAATCACTTGGTGGAGGTATGTAGGCTCAGTTTCCACTGGCTTGCGTAAAGCAGAAGGTGGGGTCACTCCAAGAATGGGCATGAGTTTCTGGCAATAGTGGCCTTGATGCTTGGCTCTCCCCTCCCCTTCCCGCACAGTGGCACAGGACGGCCACTACCCAGGAGACGGATGGCTTCCAGGTGAAAAGGCCAGGAGATGTGGGGGTGCGCTGTACCGTGCTCCTCATGTTGGACTACCAGGTATGGGCTGGTGATGGACAGATCAGAGCTGTTCGGATCCCTGAAACTGGTCGCATGTTCACATAATACACAGTTATCTCTAATGAATCTGGAAGAGGGTTGCAAAGGGGTGGAACATTTTCCAGAAACTTTCCATTCCATGGGAAGTTAAGCTGGGGAATTTTAGAGATATTCCAAGTTGGAAACTTTCCATTGGAATTAACGAGAATTTATAGGAATTAACAGGAACATTCCCAGAATTTTGCCACCCTAATCTGGAAGGGCAAAACCTCAATCCTGGTCAGTGGGTTTCTGATTTCTGCTCATAACTGTGAATGACAGACTCATCATAGCAATGGGTGGAAAATACAAAATTGTGCAATATACAGTGATACTCCACTATATCGCGATTCAGCTATCACGCCCCCACTATATCGCAGATTGTACCCCGACGCATCGCAGTTCTCTGCGTATCACGTACCTTGCTTGTGGTCCAATTGTTGTGAGCAAACTTTTTGTGAACTTTTCGTTTTGTTTTAAGCCCTACGATTTAAACTATATAAAAGAAATGTTTGTTTATATGGTCTTTCTATATCGCAGATTTTCACCTATCACTTTTAAAGTGCGTGGGAGGGGTCTTTTAAGGCTTAAATTATATAAAAAAAATGTTTGTTTTTATGGTCTTTCTATATCATGGATTTTCACCTATCACTGATGTGTCTGGAACGTAACTTCCATGATAGGCAGGGGATCACTGTATTGCACTTGATCTCTAAAATGAAAAGCATGGTTTGAGTTATCAGTAAGATGTTGTGGTCATTTGACATTATTGTAAAACAGGAGATACTGTATCATAAGCTCATGGGTTTCTCAGGAAGTTGAATATTCAAGATGTTCACTGTGTTTATGGACTCTTCTCGTTAGTTTAGTTCAGTTTTTATGCCACCAAAGTTTTTGCTGGGTTTAAATAATCAGTCTGCAATAGTTGATAATGAATTTGTCTCTCTAATCACCTGGTTCCCCTCCCCCCATTGATGCTCCCAGCCTCCCCAGTTCAAGCTGGACCCTCGTCTTGCGCGTATGCTGGGTATCCACACGCAAACCCGGCCCGTCATCATCCAGGCGCTGTGGCAGTATGTGAAGAACCACAAGTTACAGGACCCCCACGAGAGAGAGTTCATAAACTGCGATAAGTATCTTCAGCAGGTAAAAAGAAAATGCTGCTCTCCGTGCCGGCTGCCCCAGACACATGAATGTCTGCTTCGCTGTCTTCCCAATGAGCTACATTCATGCATTCTCACTGTTCTAATGAATCTTTTTAATTTTGCTTATTTCCATAATCTCATAAGTGTTCATGCATAGCCTATTAGTGCTGTAGCTCGTTAAACTACAAGAATCCTAATAGACATGAAAAACAGCCTGAATCCTCTAAGTGATATGGAGATGCTCTCAAACTTTGATCATTTGCAATGTAAATATTTGTCGATATTCTGGTTAAATAATCAGTAACTTAATTTTCCTTATTGGAGGCATGTTCAGTGTAACATCTTTTCCACAGTACATGTTTACTAATCTGACTCGCTGTTAGATGCTGTTTCTCAACTTTTTTATTCTTGCCACAACCATCTTCCATCATTGATGATTGTTTGGCAGTGAATGGAAGAAAAAAAAAATCACTGAGAAACTCGCATTGTTACAATTTCCATGCCTGCAGATATTTGAGACTCAGCGCATGAAGTTCTCGGAGATCCCGCAGCGATTGCATGCCCTGCTCATGCCCCCCGAGCCGATCATCATTAACCACGTGATAAGGTAAACCCCCCCCCCCCACCTCCCACCTCCAGCAGTCAGTCAGCCGCCTTGGAACCCGGGACCCCAGTGAAACCCTGCGCTTGCCTTTAGCGTGGATCCCAATGACCAAAAGAAGACGGCCTGCTACGACATCGACGTGGAGGTGGACGACACCCTCAAGACACAGATGAACTCCTTCCTGCTGTCCACTGCCAGCCAGCAGGAGATCGCCGGCCTGGACAACAAGGTAGCAGCAATCCCATGTGGGGTCCCTCCAATTTTAAGCCTGTATTTGTATGCCTGTTTTTCTCTTCCTTGCTGTATAATTTTGTGTACACGCGGGGAAAATAACCTTTGGTGCAGAGCAAACATAAATCTTTTATATCATGCCTTTTTTTTTATAAAATCAATATGTACAGACTTGGCACAAGCTAGCCGTGACAGGGAAGTTTAACATCATAGCACGGGTAGGGTAGTGTGTGGCTTTGCAGTTTACGATATTGGGCATGTGGCTGTAAGACTGATCGTAAGGGACCACTGGGCCTTTAAGCAAGGCCCTAAACCCCAACTGACCAGTGGCCTGTACTACGAAGCGGGGTTACTTGCTTATCGGGGTAACTTGTCGGATTTAAGGTAGTCTGGGCAAAATGTAAGTGAACGAATATGAAGTCCATTTATACTGTAGTACCTTAAATCCGACAAGTTACCCCAATAAGCCAGTAACCCCGCTTCGTAGTACAGGCCACAGGTGTGCTGGATGCTGGTTAGCCCTGCTTCCTGACCCAGGCATTCCTTACTTGCCCACACACACAACCTATAGGACTGCCATAAGAAGAATTAGTCTTCCACTCTTCTTCGTCGTCCATCTACAACGAAATCCTGACAGCAGTTAAAATGTTTTCAGCTGACACGTATCATGACCGTAGGGTCTAACATTTTGCAGTTCAGTATAAACCAAGAAGGCCACCACCGCTTCGTACAGTAACACTCCACACAGCCCCTTTGCCCAGTTAAGCAACTAGATTTGCAGAACCTAGACCTCCAGCCACCAGTGTTTGGCCCCAGGTCAATGTCTGCAGCAGGCACTCTGATTTTTAACCAGGGGTGGGCAGAAAGGGCTACTGTGTCTGTGGGTTTTTGCTGCAGTTCCCTAATTATATTACTAATTAGAGGACTGATTGGCTGTCGAGTCCTCACACCTGGGTTTGAACAGCTGACCTAAAGGTTATCACAAAAACCTGCATACACACCGGCCCTTCGCGGATAAGATTGGCCACCCCTGTTTTTAACAATGTCTTTTCTCATTTATTTTAACGTGCAAATCGCTTGTCCCCACAATGCTCTTTGCTCTGGCCTGTGGCCCAGCAAAGACCCCGATGCTCCACATTCGGCATCAGCTTTATATCGCATCGGTTTTTTAAGGCACTTACTCGTTATCAAGGACAAACATTTGCTTTGGTAATTGAGTGCATTTAAAGAAGTCCATCTTAAAGTGCTGGTCTATAATCCCATCTCCCTGTCTGCCCCCCCCCCCCCCCCCTGGTGCACGCCCACAGCAACGTTGGCTGTCTTGTTAGTGTGATCAAGTGCCTCTAAACTTCCCCTTCAGACCACTGGTATTATCTACAAGCGCATATTAGGGTGCAGCATGAGACTTACAGATAACCAAGCCCATGTAAGTGCAAAGCCTAGTCTCATGTGTACTGGGCTGATTTGAGAACTGCCACATTGGTGCATCTGAAGTGACTGGAATTTCACTGATGCAACAATCCTGACACATCATGACATGTTCAGACGCCTCGTTAATGGTAATCTCTTTGATAATGCCATTTTCAGCCTTCCTCGCCGTCAGAGTACTATCAGAGCTTATCTCGGCTCATTATCAATGGTGGTTTAGCCGTTTTACTCTTCATAGAAGTTGACATCTTGAAAGTTCTGCAGAGTGACCATGCTGCCCTGTCTTGGAAGATTGTTTTCCTACCCATTTTAATAGCCTGCTCAGATGCATATCACACATCATTGGCTCTTTAATCTCCAGTATGTCTGGTGTCAGGTGTGAAATGGGAGTGCTGAAATGGTATCGTCATGGAAAAAAAGACATCTGGCCTCATTTCAGCTGCCCCCCCCCCCCACGAGCTCTGGAATTGGTAACCCGGGCAACCAACAAACCTGGGGCCAAAGTGCTATCGATTTGTATAGTTACTCTTTCCCTACCTTGTGGATTATTCTAGTGAGTTAGGATTGTTGTGTATGATTATGAATTGGGCAAAATTATGCAACTAGTCACAGTTGTATAATGGTTAGTGATTAAGCAGTTTTTAATTATTATTTTTTTTTATAAAGTGAATCTGTTTTGTCACCTGTAACTAATGTTACAGGTGACACTAATGTGAAAACTAATGTTTTTCTTTTCTGTGATGTGTAAAGGCTGTTATGTAGGTCCGTCCGGCATGTACTTGATGATGAGTGAGCTGTTGAATCGGTAATCTTGGCTGTAAGAGTGAGAGCCCCTCCACCTCCTGCTGCCCTCTGCAGATCCACGAGACCATCGAGACCATCAACCATCTGAAGACGCAGAGAGAGTTCATGCTGAGCTTCGCCCGGGACCCGCAGGGCTTCATCAATGACTGGCTGCAGTCACAGTGCAGGGACCTGAAGGTGAGGAAGGGGCTGCCATCTGCACGCGGGTATTTACTCCTTACGTAGAGCTCCGGGTGAGAGTCTGGCTAGCAACTACACCTCTGCGTTTGGCTAGCAGTTTACCTGACATGAGTTTCATCAAGTCAATGTCAAACAAATCTCTGAATCAGGATTGGGCAATCTTATCCACAGTGGGGCAGTGTGTGTACAGGGATTTGGGATAACCTTTAGGTCAGCTGTTCAAACCCAAGTGTGAGGACACTTCAGCCAATCAGTCCTCTAAGATTCAAGATTCTTTATTTGTCACATGCATAGTTATACAGATACAACATGCAGTGAAATGTATCCTGAACCGCTCATACTTTGTGCAAATAACAAAGAAATTAGTGGTCTAATTAGGGAGTTGCAGCAAAAACCTGCATACCCAGCAGCCCTTTGTGGATAAGAGAGCCCACCCCTGGTTTCAAATGGTAACGAGTTTGAGTCTTGGTGATGAAATTGCTTGTTGGGATTGTGTTTGCTTGCAGACCATGACTGATGTGGTGGGGAATCCTGAAGAGGAAAGGAGGGCGGAGTTTTACTTTCAGCCCTGGGCCCAGGAAGCCGTGTGTCGCTACTTCTACTCAAAGGTATGGGTTGCGGTCCTGAGCAGGGAGATGGTACCATACAGGACGCAGTATGATGCCGGCTCTGAAAAAGACTGGAAATTGCGCAAGAGATGTTCAGGTCTCCATCTGTCTTTTGTCGTCCTGTAATTCAGGCAGTGTCGCCTCTGACATTATATTAAATGATGCAGCTTTGATGCTTTGAGTTTTGATGTTGCCTCGCAGATGTAGGTAAAGACCTTGTGTTCCTTTTCTCTTAATCTGGTTTGTTAATCATGGAGGGGGTGTGGTCAGAGGTCCACATCAGGCGGTCCTCTGCTGAACTCGGGGCCTCATACAGCCAGTCGGCGATGACAGAGACACCCGCATGAGCTGGGTCTGTGTTGCCTTCTAGCTGCTAAGATGTCTTTCCTGTGCCTTCAGGTGCAGCAGAGACGGCAAGAGCTGGAACAGGCTCTCGGCATCAGAAACACATAGAAGCAGAGTATCTGGGGAAGACTACAGAGACAGCGGGGGTCTAGGATGTTACTTCCACCACAGGACAAATACGTTCAGATATAGAAACTCCTGGATTGTAACAGACCATTTTAAAGCCTCTTCTGGCTGCACCAACACAGCAATGTCTCACTCCACACATACAATCTGCTTTCCTGACCATTTTAAAAACCAGTTCCTGTTAGTTTATCCTCTATGAACTAGAAATTCACCCTTTTCTTTTAGTCTTTTCTATTATGCTGTTGTGTTTGGGTGGAGATCCATATTGACAAGGTTAGTTCTTAGTCAACTGCAAAAATGCTTTGCTCAGTGTGCTTAGCCCTTAGAGGACAGAGCTATGAAAACTGAACACATCCAAGCACAGTAATACATTCATAAACTATTCTCCATGAATGTTTATTTCCATTCTAGCCTTGGGAGGGGGTTCACATAAGACTGTTTATGTTGAGTCCACAAAATATTTGGACTCCCGGAATGTTCCCTTGTGTTGTGCTTTTGGGAAACTGGGTCGTCTTGAATTTCTTTTGGGCAGTTCTCCCACACTTTGTATCTTAGCAGTAAGATGACAGAAATGACAGGCTGATAGCAGTCTGTGAACTCTTTTCCAAATTGTTTTTTTTTGGGGGGTGGGGGGTGGGGGGAATATGCAGTTTCTTGTGTGCTGTACTTTTTTCTGTACGGAAACCTGAAGATAGACCCATGTAATTGAGGTGATGTGGTTCACCTGCCTTGAAGGCACGATTTCATTGTTTCTGTGGTTTTTATTTTTTTTTAATGACTCTCCATCTCATAAAAGTTAACATTCTCCTGTGGAAGACCCCCCCCCCACACACATTTCTGTAATCCAAGCTGCAATAATGATGTCCCTGGTTGCCTATGTTACAGGAATATTCAGATAGCAGCATGTTGTACCTCAGAACTCTCTAAGGTTGTAAATACTTCACACAGGAAGACTGAAAGAGTATTTGTCAGGCTGGGCCATTGTTTGCACTGCCCATCTTTCATATACTACGTTAATATCACCATTGCCGTTCTCAAACCTAGTACTGTAATCCAAGATTTTATATAGTCTATACCGTAGTAACATGAATGTCAGAGCAGATGATCGCGCTGATCCTTCTGTGTTGTCATAGTTTTTTTTTATATATTAAAAGCCATAATCTGTATAATATGTAGTAAAGTTGTCATATTTAAGATCTTTATCTAGAATCAGTTGGTATTTGTTGGAAAATTATAGGACCGAACTTTAGTGTGTATAGTTTGGTTTCCTGTATCTTCAAGCTTCATTCATGACCTAAGAAGTCTTTATTGGGTTGGGAAGAGACCCCTGCCAGCCCACCACTGGACCGAACATCTACATTTATTTGCTGTGTGCTTCTTCCAAGTTTTAATAAAAAAAAAAAAAAACTTGAAATTAAACAGTGGCTTTTACTCTTCCTGCCAGTAGAACTCAGTTTCTTAAAGACTCTTGCTAGGAAATATTTGCAGTCTCGGGAAGGGATCTGTTCGTGTGAAGCAAAATAATGGTAAAAGTATATAGTCTATGTCTGATCTAAATTCCAGCTTCCCCTTTAAGATGTCCACCTGAATAGTGTGTCTCATTGCACCGTACTTGAATGGGATGTCGATATGCACTGAGCTTATGAATTCACCCTTGGATTCTGACATGAATATTCACAGGAGAACTTTGAATAGCTGAACTATGGTGAGTCATATTTTTCATAGATAACTGGTGCTAAACATTTCTGGCGTTGTATTTAACGCTTGTTAATTTGCGCATTGTTTTTCATAAATTACTGTAGTTCAGGGACAAATGTGTCTTGCATTTTCTGTCCCCTGGATATTGTATAAAAGGATGTCCTTTTATTTACTGAAAGTCGCCTAATAAAGCCTTAAAATCGCTGGCGAATAATGATTTTACAGTACGTTACACTGCTGCATTATCTAGAGCATAGTACGGCCGTAGTATATATTCAGTTATTTTAATGTCATACATATTACCCTTTCAAGTCTTCTGTTTCCAGACAGGGATCCCTAACCATGTAATTGCTAAACAGCTGGTGCGCCAAGCTGTTTAAAACATTAATTTAATAACCAACTGTCACAAATTATTAAGGGCCTTTGCGGTCTTACTTGAACTGCACGAAAAACAATGTATAATAATTCAAGATCTCCGTAAAAGTGATCTCAGCTGCAATGTACATACCGAGATTCATCCAAAATTCGCTCGGTATATGGGTCAGATCAAGGTTATTCATTCCCCGGACTAACAGCGTTTTGGAGTGGGTAGTGTAGAAATGCGTTCGGTATCTTCAGGTTGTGCTAAAGCTTCTGGCCCTTTTATCGGAATAAAAATCGCAGAGCTTGCAGATCTCTCGTCACTATCTCATCTAAACCATCGGGCTGAGCTGGACTGTGGCATTCTGGGAGTTGTATTTTGTTTCTCATAATTTTGTTCCATAATTTATCATATTGTCGGTCCTCGGCAGTCCTGTCTTATTTTGTCATTTCACTCTGGGGGGAAAAAACATTTGGCTTTTCGATGTGTGTGTGAAAATGAATAAAAAATGTAACTAGTTTTAGTTAATTTTTTTTATTCCACACGACTGCGGTGCGGGGAAGGGACGATACTATTTACTTAATTTAAGGTAACAGGTGCTTGGACCAACAATATATTCCGTTATATAGATGTCGGTTCATTGGCACCAAATCGGTAACTCGTGGTAGGCGATTTTTACCCCCAGGAGCATAATCCAGGCGCTAGCAGGGGGCGTGATTTACGCAGCCTCTAGCATGCTGAGTATAAATACTTATTAGTTCAGCGGCCGGTGCGAAGCTGCGCTCCTTGGCGGACGTCGGACGGCTACAGCTGCAATCCACTCCGGAAGGTCGCATGCAATGGCAGCGCCGAAGAAAGTCTGCCTTCTCGGCTCCGGCAACTGGTGAGTGACATACTCGCGAAATACAGGCTTCTTATCCTCTGGCTTCTAATCTAATGTTTGTTTATTTCATTTTCTTTAATGAGAAAGGTCTTTAGTATCAGTTTTATCTTGAAGTATCCAGAATGAATCATGAGATAGGCCTATATAAATTTAAATACTTGTATGTATTATCGCCTTTAACTTTAATCCCGCTAAGGCGCTGACGTGCGCTTTGACAACAGGTTGCCGGCGTATTGATTTTCTTGCGCAGTTTATCCGTGTAATGCCTGTACTTCAGTATAGCTTTGCCCTCCCCAGATAACACCACACCACACTTTTAGTGATGTAAGTTTTTGATGTTGCTCACCGACTACAGTTTTATTACTGTGAATATTGTTTGCAGATGTTTTTCGTATATTATGCTGTTATGCCCACGTATCAAACAGATTCGCCAACTTCTGGACGTAGCCTAAGTTTTTCATCTCTGTACAAGGGACGTTTTTAGAACCTTTTCTGTCTTGTTCGGTATGCAGTTCCGTCTGTTTTTGTTAGAAACGTTGCTGTACTGTTACTGTGCCGGTGCCGGGTCACAGAATTTGGTGTAACACCGGTAAGGCGCCGCCACCTGTCAAAAACCTTACTCTTCCTGATTATTTTGTTTGCGATATACAACTTAACCACATTTCCTTAATCATATCGATCAAAGATTAACCAGACTTACAAAATATGGCGTTATCGGTAATAATTATAAAGGAAATTGCTTCTGTCTTTAAATAATATTTTCATTTTCTGTTCTCTTGGCATGCTCAGAATTTTCCCGGCTTTTATCAAGAACAAACATTTGCTCAGATGTTTTGCTGGTTCTGTCACAGTCGGTCTGTTGAGTGGAAAGAGGCTGCGTGATACTTACTCTAACACACAAAGCCTATTGTAGGTTAATAATAGTCCACATTTTGCCATTTCAATTCAGTATGCTTTGTGTATGTCCACCTAATTATGACATCACAGGCAAAAGTTGTTTCTTGGTAGATTGTGGGGGATGCAATGGCCTTTCCCCCCACCCAAAAAACCTCCCAGGTCCCAGTGTTTACAAGACACATTATGGCAGGTATGATTGGTACCTTTGACAGCAGCTGGTAAAATACATTTTTGCTTTGTTACTCCTTCGTACTGATAGAAATTGGTACCTCAAATATATATATAGTATATATGAAACGGATGGTTTGATGTCCTCTTTTTATTGCTTTTTGTTAGTATTTTGTGTTTTTCTGTAATGTGCATCATTTTCTGTCATATTGTTCATTTTAAAATTTGCAATAAAAGAACATTGTTGCTGGAGGTTATTAAGTCCAGGCAGTCATGGAGATGGTGCCAAGTCTCAGTTTCACAATGTCTCTGTCCACCCAAGGGTCTCTTAATCTTCTTGCAGCATGTCACAGCTGCATTAGCCTGCTTGGGGTTCAGTCTTTAGTAAGCCTTAGTGAGTGGGTCAAAGGGTTGTCTTGGCGATCAGTGACCAAACTTGCTAGATAAAAAATGTTGCTGTACAGGCTCCTCCAGTTTCAGGATGCATGTACGGTGTACCAGTCAAAACCATACCCACAGAAAGGTTTATTAGTACTGTTCTCTACATTTTAGAATAAAGACATCAAAACTATAAAATAACATATATGGAATTATGCATTGACCAAAAAAAGTATTTTAAAAATTGTTCGGTGGGGGCAATTTGTTGTAGGTTGGGATTAAAAAGTTTGCCGGTTCAAATCCCTGGGTCCGCAGAGTGACCCCAACATTGGGCCCTGAGCAGGGAGCTTAACTTTCATGAGGTGCCTCCTGGGAAGCTTTTCCGACTGTCCTGAAGGAGCTCCCACATATTTTGAGCTCTCATTGGCCACTTTTCCTTCACTCTGTGGGTCAAAATCCTCCAAAACCATTTGTACTGTGTTTCGGTCAGGTGGCCAGGTCATGTGTGGTGACACTATCACTCTCCTTTGTAGGCGGCTTGGCATGTCCAAACTTTTGACTGAACTATTCATCCTTACAAACAAGGGTTTTTTCTTCTGATTCATCCCAGCAATCTTGAGTCAAGCCTTTATTATTCAGCTTAATCAATTACTATGCAATTTAGTTGCATTTCCTCTAACAGTTTATTAATAAGGAATTTTAAATGGTATTCTCATGGCTTGGGAACTTGCCTTACGTTGACTGTTTAATCCTGGACTGATGTGGGAGGTTAATTTGTGGGTAAATTATGTACGGACAGTGACCTCCTCATGAAGAGTGTCAGTACACCGTCGTACAGGGAACCCACACAGGCCATGTGCAGGAAATCCCGGATGCCTCAGTAGGACTCGGCCCTGCTTCTTTGCCCTTTGTGTGGAGATCTGAGACGGCCTGTGCACGATTTCACGGAGCGCGGGGGAGGGATCCTCGTGAACCCTCTGCTATTTCAGACTGCAGGATGTGACTTGTATGTCTGGGAGGTCAACAGAAAAGTACAGTGCTATTCATGTATGCCCAGACCATATGTGCAACCTTTAAGAAAATCCCTACCAGTTACTATTTAATTGAATTATTTGCTTTCTGCACAGGTACAGAAATACAAGTATATTGGAATTCTTGCACAGTTCCCACAGTCAAAATTAATAAAAAAAAAAAAAAACACTATTGGTTTCTACTATAAAATTAAATCACTAAATAAATTAAAAAATTGAAATAAAGTGCATTGAGTGACAGAGGTACCTGGGGGGATGAGGGTGATATAAGAGTCTGAATCCATTTTCTTTGTTTTCTTGTTGTGTGGTCAGAGTTTGGTACGTCCTCCATCTTGAATGTTATAAGCATGTGAGCACTCTATCAGGTGGTAAATATTCATGAAGAATGAAGAGATCTCCTGTTGCTGACATTAACTTCATCTTTGTTTTGCTTAATTATATGTATTTCTTTTTTTTCTTTTTTTTAAGACAAGTTTCTTTTGGACTAAAAAATCGTGCTTGTTTTCTCACCGCTGGAATGTTTGCAGTCATCTTTTTTGACCCCGATTTCCTGATCTGTATCTGCTAATAGTGGTTTAGCTCTGGTTCTTCACAGAGAAATGCAAAGCTAAAACGAAGTGCTTATTTTTCATAAGATATTCATAATATCATGCGTTGATAATATCATACATCATGGACATAAATTTCCAGGGGATGGGGGGCTGTAACTTCCCCAAAAATCAAAACCGGCTAATACACCCCCCCCCCCCTTCCCATGACCATGTCTGCCCCTAAATGGGTGTTGACCTCAACCCCTCCCAATGTTCAAACCAAGGTTATGCCCCTGTCATGCATATATTTTGTTTACTTTCAGTACACTACACTGGGATTTTTCTGCAGTAAATCTGTGGAGCCTTGCAGTTTTTACATTTTTGTGAATTCTAATTGAATTGTATGTCATGTGAAAAATGTGATGGGTATTCATGAAAGATTTGTTTCCTGTGGGCATCACACATGGTTTTTGTCCCTGTGTTGTAAGAGAATTGAACTCTGGACCCTGGCTTCCAGGTTGCATAGTGGGGTTGCCCTCTGGTCTAGTTTTAGACAGAAATGCATTGTGGGAAAGTATTAATCAGGGATGATTGCACAACAAAACTGCATGTGAAAGGTTAAAGGGAAGAAGTTATAGCAGAAATTAAGTGTTCGTAACTGCAGAGAGCTGCTCAAGGTGAAAGTGAAGTAAACAGCTGCTTAGGGCACAGTGGCCACCAGGGGGCACCCTCATCTGATCAGCCTGTCTGGTTGGGAAGGCTTATGTCAAATGAACAGTGGGTGAATCAAATTTTGCTTAGGCCCTCAACGGCATATTTGGGAGGATAACCCTTTGGTTTCTGATCTATGCTCTCCACAGGGGCTCTGCTATAGCCAAAATCGTTGGTGCCAATGTGGCCCAGAACCCCAGGTTTGACAAGACTGTCAACATGTGGGTGTTTGAGGAAGTGGTGAATGGCCGAAAGCTCACAGAGATAATCAACACTGAACACGAGAACATCAAGTATCTCCCTGGGCACAAGTTACCCCCAAATGTGGTAAGACTGATGCTGTGTGGTAGATTATTTCTATCCACTTACCAGATGCTTTTATCTAAAATGACATTGCAAGTGAGAAGCAGAGCAGAGGGTCAGCCAGGGTCCTTGGAGAAGTTGGTGTTCTGGGTCTCACTGAAGGGCCCAGTAGTGAAATCTTTCCTCTACCAGGTACAGGATTTGAACCCATAACCTTCCAAACATGGCCACAGATCCCAAACCAACTGAGTTATACACTGCCCTGACAGATCTGATTTAACTAAGCTATGGGTAACAACAGGATCTTAATGTATAAGAACTAGACCAAAACTCAAACATATTTGTGTATGTATTTTTGGTGGCTTTGTAGGATGAATCTCAGTAAATTAATATCACAGTTGGAATACACTGATAGTTTTTCGAAATCGAGCAACAAGATTGAAATCATTGCCTTTGAGCAAAAATGTTGAATGCTTCGAATTACGAAAAACTATGTGCCGTAATTTGGTTTTGCGGTCAAGCTGAGAAATCTAATAACTTCTTTATAACTTAATTTCCCACTGTATTGTTGTTGTCCCCCTGCACACAATATTTCTAAATTGAGAAATGTTTCCAAATACAGAAAGCCAAACAAATTAATTGCCCGGCAACATCATGAGGGAAAAACATCTTAAATTTACCTGGAGTGGTTTTAATTAGAGCTACAGGGTTTGATTTGACTCTTATTTGGAGGGCTGGTGAGCACATAGAATTTATCAAGGGCGACAGTTGGAATTACAGCATGGGCTATCGGCGAAATGAAAGCATTCTGTGAACAACGCCGCTGGCGGTGAATGAAGTACCACCTGGAATTGGAAGCACAAAGTACTCAATGACCTCCTGAGGGCACCCTTTCTTTTCATCTTGCAGGTAGCCGTCCCGGAATTGCCCAATGCCGTCAAAGGAGCAGACATCCTGGTTTTTGTGGTGCCACACCAGTTCGTCGGAAAAATGTGTGATAGCATCAAGGATCATATCAAGAAGGATGCCCTGGGCATGTCCCTCATCAAGGTGGCAGATCAGACACGCTTCAGCATGCTAATGAGTTTATGTCAAACGTCATTTACGGAGACATCATTGTCTTTTGGGGGGGAAATAAATTTGAAGATGCACATCTTCATATTTAGTTGATATAGAACATTTAATGAATATTTACGGATCAAGGACTCTTACCAGTACAATAAATTCAGGTATCTCTTAGTTGACCCTCAACTACGCTTGTTAGCCTTAGAAAGGTTCAGCATTAAAGGCAGTTTTGAATTGCTTTAGCTACACTGAAGGAAATATTTTGTCTCAGGGTGTAGATGAGGGCCCAGAGGGGCTGAAGTTGATCTCAGACGTCATCCGGGAAAAGTTAGGAATCACCATGACGGTGCTTATGGGTGCCAACATTGCCAACGAAGTTGCAGATGAAAAATTCTGTGAAACCACCATTGGTAAGATGTCTGGTGGAAAACATCTTTCATGTCTGTTTGATATTTTGGTGTCTTTGTGTTGAAGAGGCTCAACATTGAGGCGTCCGTTATTTTGATACACGACCCACCCGAGAAGCTAGAATCCTAAGGCAGAATCCTTGGTGCTTTGGAAGGGTTAGGAAACTCAGCTCAGGGAAAAAAAAACCTCTTACATCTTAATTACCCTGAATCTCATGTTCTTGAAATGGGTTCTTGGAGTCCAATAAACCCTTAAGCAATTGAAATTAAGAGGAATCCATAAAGAAAACAGTATTAAAATCCAGCAAAGTATTGGCTATATGAATTGGTGACATTTGTCTTAATCAGTTTTTAATCAGACGAGATTGGAGTTGAAAATAATTTTTATAAATATTTACATAAGCTGGCAAAAAAACAACATACATGGGACACAGGAGACAAAAATATCCACAGGCCTAATAGCTCCTTCAATGCACTAATGTTAATTTGCTAATTCCTATTGCTCATTCCAGTCCTGACTGGTGGTTACTCTGATGTCGATGCAGCTGTGTCTCTGTGAGGCAGTCGCACGTAATTGATAAGTTCTGTAACCTGGAGATCCTAATGATCTGCTGTTAATGTTAGACTTTCAGTGAATGATCTTTAGAGTGGAGTATATTTACTAAATACTGGATTCCCAAGGCCTCAGTGCACCCGGGGTCCTGGCCACAAATTAACCCATTTCGCCACAAAATAAATGATATATTTACTTGGCTAACAAAGGAACTATTGAAATCAGATTAGATTAGGATTCGATTGAACTTAATTGTCATTGTGCTGTGTACAGGTACAGAGGTAATGAATTGCAGTTAGCATCTAATCAGGTGAAAATAAAATATACACAAGTATGATTTTGAATAAATTATAAAATTTGTGTGCACCTATAGTGCAAAACAGCTATCTGTTGCTTTAAATCCCTCAAAAACATGGCAAAAATGTGTGCTGTACACACACAGCCCAAATTTCCATAAAAATGCTAACTGACATTAGTTGAAATCAAAATGAATGTGAAACATTTGCTCGTTGCCAAAAAGTGTGTTTCAGTCCTGGCACACTGAACTCTCCAGTGGAGTTACTGGAAGCAGCATTAAGCTTGTGATGCTATTGAATCCATGTACACAGGCAGTCAGAGCAACATCAGAACAAAACACATTTTTCCCCCTTTGAGGAAGAGACATGGCTTTAGTGTTGAATCCAACCCTTTTTAACACCAGTGTTAATTAAATGACAACTGTATGTACGATTTATCTTTAGTCCTGGGTTTGAGAACAAAAACATTTAACTCTTCTGCAGAATATACATGTACCAGACCTATTAGACTTAAACCTTCACAGTAATCTCCACAAATAACTTCATTTTAGATTATTATTATTGTTTTGAATAATAATAAATACTTTAAGGTAACACTTTACTTGAGGGGACACAAATAACGTAATAATATGCTTTTACTTTGTATTAACCACAAACTAAGTGTTGCTTACAAACTCTCATGTTTGTTCATCATTAATGACTGATCTGTTAATTCTGTAAACCTTAGTGAACTATTGAAGGAACTACCAAAGAACTACTGAAGGAACAAGTCATGAATAACACTAATGAACTATTGATCTCATGTTTGTTCATCATTAATGAATCATGACATCTTTCTTCTTAAGTAGCTACTATATTTGTTCATTATTTGTTCTTCAGTAGTAACTGAGTTACTACTGAATATTTGTCTCCCCTCAAGGAGTGTTGCCTACTTTTAAATTTAGTAAATTTGAATCTCAGCAAAAATGAGCTGAAAAAAGGAAGGTTCATGTGTTTTCTTATGGTTTATTTTCATTTAATAATTTAGGAATAAAAAATCTAAGATGACTGGTTAAATTTTCAATACAGTATGACAAAATGTTTAACTAGGGGAGTTGATAGCTGGAAAGGACTGACAGTGTGATTGTCAGCAGTCACAATCATGTCATGCCAATTAAAACAATCTTAACTGAAGTGAAACACAATGTCCCTGACAGTAAGAAAATGCACCCTGGGAATTGTAGTCAAGTAAACAGTGATATGCTCAGTGGTCCATGCAGGAACAAGATGTAATTTGGCTTGAAGTCCTGCACTGAAATCTGCAGTAGGACTGGATGCTAAATGGCATGCTGCTTTCTTCTCGGCGCACACACTTCTTTTGTTTCCTTCAAGGGTGCAAGAACAAAGAATACGGACCTCTGTTGAAAGAGCTGATGCAGACGCCCAACTTCCGCGTGACGGTGGTGGAGGAGTCAGATGTGGTGGAGATTTGTGGAGCTCTGAAGGTACGCTGACACTCTGGCCAGATGCATGTAAATTACTGGATGCTTTGGTCTGGAAACGAAGAATGGAACTAAGGATGCAGATAAGATATTAGTGTATAAATACCTGAATATAAGTGTATGAATATGGCAGCAAGAAGGTCCTGGCTTCGGCCCCCAGGTCAGGTGTAGGTCCTTTCTGTGTGGAGCTTGAATGCTCTTCCAATGTTCGTGTGGGTTTCCGCCAGGGACTCTGGTTTCCTCCCATAGTCCAAAAATGTGCACGATAGGTTGATTGGTGACTCTAAGTTGGCCCCGTAATTGTGTGAGTGTGACTGTGCGAGAGTGCACGCCCTGTGGTGTGTTGGTTCCTGCCTGCGCCCATTGTTCCCAGGATAGGCTCCAGTCCCTCCCGCGACCCCAGTTGGGATTAAGCAGTTACAGTGATGGATGGATGGAAATGTTCACAACAAGCCAGTTTTGGGTGAATTGGTCCCTGAGGTGTGATATTATGCGTGTCCCCAGCCTTGTGTCCTGTGCTTCCTGTGTGCTCACAGTAACCTTGGATTGAACAGGATATGGAAGATGCTTGGATCAATGAAATAGAATAGAATAGTATTTTGTGACACACAGTTAAGGACAGTGGATACTTACTAGAAAGTAATAATGCAGACCAAGTTTTTGTTTCAACCAACCAGTTGAGTTTAAAGCAGCGGTTTCAAACTACCAGCCCGCAGATCACTTTCACACAGCCGGCGTCCACATGTTCTTATTGTACTATTTAATATGGCCCTCAAATCAATCTTTACTTTGCACTAGGTATGAAATGGCTACTGGGTTCACGGTAAAATTCCAGACAGTATTACCATGTCCAATTTTAATTATCGTTAAAACAGTGCTTGATTACGGTGCTTTGAAAAACTTCCCAGATGCAATGTGGGTTTGTTAACTAATAGTTAACTATTAGCTCAGTGCATGACGTTGAAACTTGGGAGCAGGGGGAAAATGTCATGGTTTGTCTGTCTAACTTGCTAATAGTTTGTCAATAATGTAAACTGAAGCTTTGTGTGTTACCCCCTCTTATAAAGACACCACACACTGCCAGTGATGTATTGGAGACGGCATTTTTTTTTTTTTTGCCTCAGAGCAAGTTGAATGTCCATTTGCTAAGAATTCATTGTGTGCACATTTGTATTTATTTATTCTTGAAACAGAACAATGTAGACTAGTTTCCTTCTTCTGTATGGACTTTCCAGCATAACCACAATGTGACAGCATTATTTGTGTTTGTTTGAAGTTCAGTGAATAGTCGAGCTCTTAGGAGATGATGTGGTTTTCATATGTTTACATGGGTTTTTATGTTATCTTAATATTAATGCAAACAAAAAATACACACTGCTGCTAAACGTATTTGTGATTTTCAATGTAGAACCTGGTAAAATGATTATTGTTTGTGTATCAGTAGATTTTCAGCACATTTTAATAATACAGTGATAATACTGATAACTGTGATCATTTTGGTCACTATAATCATGAAATTTAAATTTTCATACCATTTCATCTCAGCTCTATACTAATGTTTTTTTTTCCTTTAATTGAGCAGAGGCTTGTTTTTTTTTATAGATGAGTTTCAATTTTCAAGTTGAAAAAGATGGGATTTTTTTTGTTGTTGTGTGATTCCTCTCATGGCCCCCTTGGGGGAGCACCTCATAGCCCCCAGGTAATTTGAGTTTGAGACCCCTGCTTTAAAGAGGTGTTCACAGTACTCAGCTGCTTGATTGAAACAAAATCTTGGTCTGGATTTTTACTTTCTGAACCTGAACGATCCACCTCTGGTGGAAAGTTTTGTTGGTATTGCTCACCGGATCAAGTAACAATAGCAAACAGAAGAAGATAACAGGATATAAATAGTATACAACAGAGAATGAATAATAAATAAAACGTAACGTATACGACATAGGATACATGTGCAATTTAAATGTAATACAGAATAAAGTAACAGGACATGAACAGATAGTTCACAATGCAGAAGACATGACTGACCAAGAAATTCCCCATTTGTTTGTCTACTTATGCATCAATTTTTTTGTCTTTCCACAAGAACGTGGTGGCGGTAGGTGCAGGCTTCTGTGATGGCCTCGGCTTCGGGGACAACACCAAGGCAGCAGTGATCCGTCTGGGGCTGATGGAGATGATCGCCTTCGCGCGCATCTTCTGCACCGGCGGGGCTGTGTCCCCGGCCACCTTCCTGGAGAGCTGCGGCGTGGCCGATCTCATCACCACCTGCTACGGCGGCCGCAACCGCAAGATCGCGGAGGCCTTCGTCAAAACGGGGAAGGTGAGGCTGCTCATGGGCGCGGCATCCGTGTGCCGTCATCACATCGGCAAACAGGAAGGGCGCAATGGCAGACATGGTGGGTGGGATTATTGTGAGCTGCCAATCACTGTCAGCTTTAACCCACTTCCTATTGATTACTCATTCCCATTGGAGGTAGAAGAGTGATTGACAGCACCTGAGAATCCTATACACTATGGGGGTTCAAAGCTGTGTTTCTTCCATTGCTTGCACAGGGGTTATAAATCTCTTCAAGCAGATCAACAAGGTGTCATTAAAGTCCCTCCAACTCCAGTGTATTGGATCCATGCTGTATTTTTCTCCCCTTTGCAGTCAATCGAGGAGCTGGAGAAGGAGATGCTGAACGGGCAGAAGCTGCAGGGTCCGGCAACGGCGATGGAAGTTAACCATATCCTCAAGCACAAGAACCTCGTGGAGAAGTAAGCAGTGTAACTGTTAAACCTGATGAATCTGACCAATCCTGACAGTCGTAGTCCTATTTCAGCCAAGCCAGTAGACCGGCTGACTATGCGAGCTGGTTCTGGGTAGCCAGGCAAATCCTGATGAAATTGTGTGGTTCCTGGGCTCAATCTCAGTACCAAGAACACAAAGACCATACTTGTGGTCTTAGTAAGACCGGTTTTGCAAGATCACAAGGACAGAGAACGCACCAACTGAGACAGATGCTGTTCCACCATGCTGTTTGCTCAGCTGATTATTATCATAGTATTTAATAAATGAGACATAATCGAAATGTCCAGTCTAAATGATTAAATATTCCTGGCAAGATTACTAGTGTTTTTTTCCACAAATAGTTTTACCATAGAATTTTCATATTTATTTCAGCTTTGTACAAATCATACACATGCCTATTAACCATTCCAGTTCAGCAGTTTCAGAAGCCATAAAGGTCAAAAACGGTGGGGAAAATACTATCTGACAGGAATGACGGAAACGTTACTCTGATTAAGGTAGCTCCGATTAAGGTAATACAGTTATGGTTTGTGCCTTCTTCCTCTGCCATCACAACAGCACGCAATGAATCATGGGATTGTTCTCACTTGGCAAGGACGCACCCAATGTATCCTTGATATCTGGGGTGGAGAAAGACCAGTATCTAGGGATTTTTAGTGTCCTCTGATCTTGTGATCTTAGTATTGGAACTGGTCTTCGGCAATGGAAAATGATGTAAAACGGGTACACAAGATCACAAGTACGGTCAAGTACGCATATTGAGATTCAACCCTGGATTGGTCCACACCTGGCTTCCCAACAATGAAGAGCATTCTCCTGTTCCTTTAGAAATGTAACCCTGCTTTAAGGGGGAAACATAAAAAGGTATATATATCACAAAGATGGACAGAGGTTATTTATGGTGACAGAATTGATTTTTTTTAATGTTCAATTCTTTGATGCAAGTGAGGCCCATATATTCCAGTAAATATGAAATAATATAACTTCTTGTGGCTAGTTCCCCATACTGCTATTGCACCAGAAGCAGGACATAAGTGCTTTAGAGGTCGTTTACATTTCAGGCGAAATGAAAGATCATTTATATTTGTCAAAAAGACAGAGAAGCTTGTGAGACGTGTATAAAATCATGGATTATGTATATCTGTCTTTGTATTAAAAAAAAAAAACTAAATGGAGCCTTTGTCTTAGATGTTCTCCAGTAATTCCTTAAGGATGATTTATTACTTAGCACTCTGCATTTTTAATTCTGGAAGAAGTGTAATGTTTATGAAGATGATCTAGTCCCTATTGTAAGTGCTGGAGATTTCAGAGATAAATGTTATTACAGAATTTGGTGCTGTCCTCTCTGTTGGTCACACCTCTTCTCCTGAAAATCTCATGGTCCCAATGACACCAAAATTTTGGCACTGTCTGATCCGGTTCGCCCTGATAAGATCATCACTCTGCCTTTACCACTTCACCTTATTTTCTTTTTTCTACAGGTTTCCTTTGTTCACGGCAGTCTACCAGATCTGCTATCAGGGACACCCAGTAAAGGAGTTCATCACCTGCTTGCAAAACCACCCAGAACACATGTAATCCTTTCTTCATCCACATGGAGGCAAAACCAGCACATGTTGAGGTGCACTGGAAGATGCTTTGGGAAGTTAATTAGCTCTAATAAATGTTTTCTTTCCCCTCTTATCTATTTTTCTCAAACAGGAAGTTGGTGAAATTAAAGTTTCACCTTTGGGAGATTTTCCACAAATGCTTTCTCTTAGGTTCCACCGATTCAATACTACCTGACTTGTCAGAGACTTTTTGGAGTTGATATCGAAATGCTTATCATGGCAAGTAAATAGAATATTTTTTGTAGTAGAACATCTAAAACATCTTAATTTTACTGGGCTAAAGGACACTCTTTGAAAAGGAACATTTGCACATCTTTGTGCCATTTTTATACATTTTATTTGTTGCCTTATTTGAGAACTTTTGAGCCTTGCAGGTTTTTAAACAGGAGTGCCTTACAGAGCCTGAAATACCCACAAGTCCATCACCTCACTGTGTCATGTTCCGTATTCTGACAATTAATTGTGTTGTTTAACCGGTTAATTGTGTCGTTTTAAGCCAGACTTCCTTCCCAGGTGCCTTTGTTTTGCTTGTCGTGTCTTTTTTTTTTAAATTTTATTTTAATCCTGTGTTTGTTTGTATCGTGTGTCAGGCCCTTCGTTTTTGAAATAAACAGCTGCAAATCTGTGTAATTCGGTGTCGTTTCAGTCACTCTGCACCGCTTCGTTAATCCCTCTCAGTAGTGTGGCTTTCGCGGTGGTGCATTGACACGGCCATAGATGTAGCCTGTGTGCTGTGTGCATTTACATGCCAGTGCTTTGGCCTCCTGGCATCAGGCCCTGCCCCTCCACTGCACTTCACTGCAATTTGATCACTATCTCATACTGCCTCTCCTGACACTCTGCACTCTTATCTTTTACCATTCTCCAGTCTTACCACCTTCCTCCCTGCTCATGTCACATGGATATCTTCTGCACCACACTTTTAAAGCCAATCCACTGACAATTTATCCTAAAAAAAATCCCTTAAAGGGCATGAAACCCAATGGTTTGCACCTGTATGATCAGGTTGCACCCGTTTTCCCCAAATGACTGAATTCTCGGATTATCTGACGTGTGTGAAGTTTAACTCTGGGGCCCCTCTGCTGCCGTTGGTGCCACCGCTGTGGTGTCGCTCCGCTGGAATGTGTCGACGGCGCAGCCTCGCTCAGTGACCCCAGCTAACGCAGTGCCCAAAGCACACCGACCCCGCCAGCTTCTCATTTCTCCTCCCGCTGTTTTTTGAGATTCTTTAAGGTATATGATTCATTTTGGAGGTAGGTGCTGGGGTGGTTGAGTGGGTAGTACAGTTGCCTGACATGTCCAGGTTCCACCTCTGCTCTATGTGTGTGGGGGGGTTGTATGTTCTCCCTGTGTAGCGTGGGTTCCCCCCCCCCCCCAACAGTACTGTGACACAAAGTCAGGCTAACTGGTGTCTAAAGACCAATCCTAAAAATGGTGGCGTTTATGCAAATGAATTTGCATATTGGTGGACTGGCGTCCTGTCCTGGGTCCTGTCCTGGTTATACCCACACTTTCAGCTCTGTGCTACCTGGGATAAGCTCCAGGAGACGATAAGTGGTTGAGGAATGGAAGATTTGACTGGGACCTAAAAACCCACATGTGCACAATTTTGGTTTATATGTCTAATTAGTTTTGAAGGCCACAGCTTAATCCTTTCATGAGTGTTCCTGCACACACAGGTCATCCTTAACATTTATAACATTCCAATAGTCACTTATCTGATCAGGATCTGCTTGATCTGGGTACACAGTAGAGTGAACCCTGGTTGGCATGTCGACACGCTCACGTCATACACTATGGACGGCTGGGAGTCATACATTGGTCTCAGCTGTGTGTCTTTGAACCGTGGGAGAAACAGAATAAAACAGGCAGAGCGTGCACACTTCACATGCTCTTAGAGTAACTTCGGAGCACGTCTCAGCTGTAGGAGTTCATTGGCATTTCCAGCACTAAGCTACATGTATATAACAGGGATATAGTCTGACCAAAACATTATTGGCACTATACTGTACAAAAGTGTCCTCAATTCTCTTCTATTTGATTCAGCATTTTAAACTTAAAACTATAAATTAAATCAGTTAAACACAATTATAAACAGAGATTAAATGTAAACGCTTCACTATGTCATGCATAACTTTACAAAACGTTTGTTAAACTTGACTTTAATAATTTCACATTTTATTTCTTCACTGAGCACTTTAAGTCAGCTGTCTGTTGTAGGTGACTGATAACCACTTTGAAAATCAACTGCCATTCGACTTCATACCAGCTGAAATTGCTGCCATAGTGTCTGAGTCAACTATAGCCATCAGGCACCTAATAATAACGACAGTCTATCGGGCAAAGGTGAAGCTATAATTAGCGAAACCAGAAAAAGGGTGTCAGATGGGTTAGACTGCTTAACTGAGGTCATTATATCACAGTGAAACACTGTGTACCTACTGTATACTACACTACTTTCAAAGAAATTCTGGGCTTGACAGCTTAAGATTGTTTTTTTATATAAAAGTTTATCCAGTACAGAGCTGTAGTGAGCACTAAAGACAATTTAGATTAACATATTCATCTAAATGCATGTTTTTTTTTTTTTGGACTTCAGGAGAAAACACACAGGGACAGGACTGAAGCCCCCATCCTCTGAAGTGAGAAGCTATAGCATTACATGCTGAGCTACTGTGGGGGCTACAATGGAAACAAAAATATAAACTTTTTTTCAGTTATTACTCATGAAAGTTGTGTCCAATCATCATCCAACTATTTATCCAATAGCCTATCATAGGGAATTTGGACCATATTATAGACAGCATAGGGCAAAAGGGAGGAGAACACTACGGATAGGATGCACATCATGTCCTATTGTGTCAATTTACTTTTCTATAAGCTTGCAGTATAATGCCATCTAGTGGCAATAATGAGTAAATGCACGTTAATGTAAAACCAAATTTTAACGCAGGACTAATGGAAAAAAGAGACATACAAATAAATAAATAAATAAATAATAGAACCTTTACATAAATAAGATCCAGGACAGGTGTCTTTCGACTTGGCTCTGTGGACCAAATCCTTAGGCACAACGCTACCTGAACACATGGTTTTAAAACAATATATCATCCTTTACAGAAACGTGAGACCACGGAAAAAAGACTAATTTTCTTTCACAATAAATATAATTTTAATTCCTGAGTCTCCCTTACATATGTTTATAACCGAAGCCTTCAGTGAGAACACCTGTGGTAGTTGCATATAATTTTTTTTGGCAGCGATTACACGGGACCATTATTAAAACTTATCTCAGTGGGACGATTTATACATACAGTCTGTGCAAACGCTGGGGGTGTCATGGCGAAAAATGAAAACAATTTTAATTCTTTTTATTATTTGGTTTTGAATATTCTTTTCATAGCTAAATGTCAAACATGCACATACACAACACCAGATGTAGCACTGGATAATCAAACCTGTGGAGAAAAATCACCTTGGCACAGTTAAATAGAGAGTTGGTAGACTGTCTACCATCGACATCCTACTAGTTTGTGTTTTATTACTCATTTTTTTTTTTTTTTTAGTATTATGTGACCTACAAAAATCAAATCAAGTGAAAGGTTCGCAAATGTACCCCTTTATCTTGCTTTGGCACGTAAATTTCAGCTGGGAATCCAAAGCAATACATGCATTCCACACATAATATCAGAGGTCTATAATTTGAAACAAGCAGAATGTAGTACCGGAACAGCCCCTTATTTTCAAAGACTAGCAAAATAAAAAGAAGCTTTAAAAAAAAAAAAAAAAGCTCTCGGATGGTTGTGTCGACTTGTTGAAAAAATTTGTAACGTGTGTGTCGGTCATATATGGTCTACAACTTGGTAATTTTCAAGTACAGCTATTTTAACAGCCATTTCACGTTTGGCACGTTTGTGCATGTGCATATTATTAAATTTTCCAAGAAACAAAGCCGCTGAGCTACACAACCTGTTGGTCTTATGAAAAACCTTTTGTTTTACTTATAATTAGCCGATTGATTTCTAGGATGGTCTGCATTTGTTCCTACTATACATCACTTTCAGCAATATACTGCGTAACCAGTTGTCATTACGTTTAGTTCAACACCTTTGGAAACAGCGTTCGGCACCCTATTTATTCCTCTCTCGCATGCTTCATGAGTACCCCAGTAAAGCATACTGGGAGTTGTAGGCTGCACCGTTTTTCCTCCCTCACTGGTGTTACAAAATCCACCTTAAATGCACCTCAGTAGACATTTCCTTGTTATGCAGATTAAAGTATCACCATCACGGGATAAGGATTTCGTTCTGGAGCGCTCCGCGTCCGACGTCGCACTAAACTAGCCTGCTTGTTAGCCGCGAGCTCCGTCGCCGACACTGCCTGGATCGGCATCAGAAATGAATCATACCCTTTAGGGGCATGTTCCTGAAGGCGATCTAGCCAGCCTACAGAAAAGAGAAAGCAGGGGCCGCCTAACGTGGCGGCGGAGGAGCCCCGCGGAGAAGCGGCGCGCGCGCCCGCACTCCCTCGCACCTAGACGCCAGCGCCGGTCGGGGGCGCCTCTTCGGTGTGGGTGGGGCCTTCCAGTTCCTTAATTCGCTGCCAGAAACACCTCTTTGCTCATCCGCGCGGCTGAAAGAAAGAAACCGAAAAAGGGGGCGGCGATTCTGCCTTTTTTCTCCCCTCTCGGCTTTTTCTTTTGGTACTCTTCTTCCGAACCCCTGTCTTCCTTTCTGCTCAACATGGCTACTCTCTCAGCCTGGTTTTGGAACGAGAGGTTCTGGCTTCCTCATAATGTGACTTGGGCGGACCTTGCGGACCCCGCACCCGGAGTGGAGTACCCTAAAGCCGTACATCTGCTCTCCGCCTTGCCGCTGGCTGCGCTCATTTTCGTTGTCAGGATACTTTTTGAAAGGTATGTATCGGCTGGGCGGGGGGAAACCCGACCGAACCCGGGCACCGCCGCGAGGAACGTGTGCGCCCTCATTCACATATAATGAAACCGATTTTTTCCCTTTATACTAACCAGCATGTGCGGGGCCGCTCGTTAATTATGTCCTTCATTTGGCTGGGAATCAGTGATCCTCCCTGGATGTTTAGCAGGGCAGTCAGCTTTGTTGAACAACAAAAAAAAGAGTCGTGCGGCTTGTGAAGAAGGTATGGAGATCGTGGTTAACTCGCCAGTCATATTTTCTTGACTTGGGGTGATGTAAGTTAACCAGCAACTTATCAGCGAGGTACATGTCACCATCACATGGCTGATAGGAAATCTAGGCAATCCGAGGCGACAATCCCATATTGCGGGCCGGTATCTCTTATTAGGGCGACACCGTACGACGGTCATCGTATTCTTTTAATTACATATAACGCATCCTTATAATTCCTGAATTATGTCAGTATTCCAGTATGGTTTTCCAGCATAAGTTTACCGTGTATCTTTAGGTTGCTTTAACTTTAATGTTGCCATCTAGATTAAATAAATAAAGACTTTGATTGTGGGTGCTGGAGTCGTCAATAAATTGAAACCATGCGTCGTTTTTTTCCCTTGTCAGATGGGCAGACCATGCTTCGCTGTCTTGTGATCGGGCATGTAATTACAAACCGTTGACGTTCACGGTTTCTTTTTGATT